CAATGTCAGTAAGACAATACATTCTTTTCTTCTGATCTTTGATGACGATGTCTGGGCAATTATTTTTGATTGTCCTGTCTGTGTGTCGTGTAAAGATACAGAAATGTCTTAGATAAGGTAACTGTTCTGTGTGGTGTTTAAACTAATTTCTTGCACTTTCCTTCTTGTACAAGCTGAAAAATTTCCAGTGCCGATAATGACCAACCCTGTCCTGAAGTCTTTTATATTGGGTAGATGTTAATACTGTGCAACCGTAAAAAATGGTCAATTGTTCCTGGATATTCACCACAGAATTTGTATTTTGGGCCTAACACAATTTTTCAGTATATTTGCTCAGTAATTTCTTGCTAGCAATCATTCTTATGTAGCAAGAATAAAACCTTTCAAAAATTTCAGCTTTTAACCCTGCATTACATAATCACTGTCTACATCGGCTTGTTTGATACAAGATCAGCATTGACCATGAATAGGCTTATCTTGTCATCTTTTCTCCATTTGATGTTGCCTTATTTTCAGGTTCATTCCCTCGGCAGTAGTATTATAGTTTATCTGCACTTCTTCACCAACTTGAAATTCCCTTTTGAATTTGGTGGATGACTGAATAAAGTTTCTTGTTTCTTCCACGTACATTGATACAAATCATCATATAGCCTGACGTGACTTAACCGATTGAGCCACAGAGGATCGTTCGATTAGCAAGGTCGATTTTACTGCTTTTAAACTACAATATTACATGAATCTCTCACATACATTCATATCTGCTCAATGCGTATCCAATTGTAAACAAATGACGTCACACATTATGAAATGGACAAAGTTCGACAATTATTTTTAAGACATTTTTATGTTTATACATTCTTTTTATAGATACAAATATTTAAGTAAATGCTCTGTTTTATAATAAACAGTATTAATAACATTTACCGGCCTGAATGTCTGTGCAATTTTCATCGAAAATATTCGTTCTCCGACAGGAATCGAACCTGTATCCTATACGGAACCGTCATATAGCCTGACGTGCCTTAACCGATCGCGCCACAGAGGATCGTTCGATTAGCAAGGTCGATTTTACTCTCTTTAAACTTCAATCTTCCATGAATCTCTCACGCACATTCATATCTGCTCAAAGCGTTTCCAAATGTAAACAAATGACGTCACACGTTATGAAATGGACAAAGTTCGACAATAATTTTAAGACATTTTTATGTTTATACATTCTTTTTATAGATACAAACATTTAAGTGAATGCTATGTTTGTAATAAACAGTATTAATAACATTTACCAGCCTATGACGGTACCGTATAGGATACAGGTTCGTTTCCTGTCGGAGGACGATAGGTATTAAAACAGGAAGTCTGTTGTTGGACAGAAGTCGGTGACCTGTTCTAATTAAGAACTAGCGGATATATCTCCGGACATGGATAGTTCAGTCTAAAATTTTCTGATTGTTGACCTGGTCGAAAATCACCTGATGAAGCCGGAGGACACAGCGTCCGAAACGTTGTGATAGTAACAACAAAGATGTGGACAATAGTCAGCGTGAAGCTAATGTAAATAACTTCACTTCTGCGAAATCCAAACAGAAATGGTGAAGCCTTGTTGTTGCCAGCATCTTAACTCCCATTTGTGGTCCGCCAATGAATAATCAATAAATCTCTATATGCAGACACTTAAAGCATAATCCGATATAGATCACTTCAACCGTTGGCTTCTTTTGATTCATCGTCCGTATCGAATGATTATTCGCTTATACATTATCTCTGACATAATCTAACATGGATTAGAGGATATTTCTAATTTTTACTAACGTGACCCGCGACAAAGTCTTTGAAATGGAATTTTTCTAGTCATTCTTGTGCACCGTTGAATATTTTCCACTTTGACCTTCACATCTTTCAATGAACTAGAGTAAATGATGGAGAAACAGTACAAAGGTGAAACAGAGTGCAAAGAATTAACTGACACAAGTTATCTCCCCCTGAGCACGAAATGCAGAATCAATAAAGGGTTTTGGTTCAAGATTCCATGAAGAGTACAGAATACTACGATAGGCACCTGTTAAAGGTTAAAGTGGGTAAGTGCAGAAAACGCTGTTATTATAACAAACAAAATGCATAATATGTACTGAACAGAAATGGTTTATCATAGTGATAAGATATTATATTGTATGTATTACTGTCGATTTGGGAGAGACTGTATAAGATGTCAATCAGTTAGAGAAGCTTAGATATCTGGGAAGCGTTTTAACAGAAGATGGAAAATGCGGCAGCGAAAACAAAGCACGGATTAGATTAGGAAAAGAAGCCTTCCAAAAGGTAAGTTAGAATTATCGAAGTGCAAACGAGAAAAGAGTGCTGGATTGCTATGTGATAGCCATCCACTTATACGGCACTGAATGTTGACAATCGCTCTAAGGATAGGGGAGAATAACTAAAAGGAGCGGGAATGGGTTTGTACAAAACGACAGTGAATATTCCTTCAGAGAAAGAAAGCAACAAGGAAACTTTAAAGAAAATCGTAAGAACAGCTGAAATTGCTTAGGCACTTAATAAAGAAAAAGGATCCGGGAAACCTAACCCTCACGGAGGATATTGAGGGCAAGAGAGATAAGGGAAGGCAGTAAGCCATTTAGCTGAATAGCTTGTTTGAATGGATGGCAGAATCAGGAAACAATAGCTGAAATCCGTTGGAGACAGGATGAGGAAGAAGGTCTTGGTAAACTTAACCTTCACGGGCATATTGAGGGCAAGAAAGATAGAGGAAGTTGCGAATCACTTAGCTGATGAGCTTGTTTGAATGTTTGGGAGAATCAGAAAACGATAACTGAAATCCGTTGAACACATAATGAGGAAGAGGGTCTTAGAAAACTTAACCCCAAGGGGCATATTGAGGGCAAGAGAGATAAGGGAAAGCAGCAAGCCATTTAGCTGAATAGCTTGTTTGGATGGATGGCAGAATCAGGAAACGATTGGTGAAATCCCTTGGACACACAATGGAGAAGGAAGGTTCGAAAACCTTAACCCTCACGGGGCATATTGAGGGCAAAATAAATAGGGGAAGGCAGTGAGCCCCTTATCTGATGAGCTTGCTTGAATTGATTGCCGAATCAGAAGTCGGTAGCTGAAATCATTTGAACACATAATGAGGAAGGCAGGCTCGAAAGACTTAACCCTCACGTGGCATATTGAGGGTACGATAAATAGGGGAAAGCAGCGAGCCTCTTACTAGACGAGCTTGTGTGAATGGATGGCAGAACTGGGGCGGGAGCCTTAACCAAAGTTGAAATAGTGCTCAGAGCCATACATGATAAGGCATTGTGGAGAGCCATCATCCCTTTATATCCCGAAGGTACGATTCACGTAGAAGTAGTCTAAGACTCAAGTTGAGCTAAAATGATTCACAAATAAAGGGGGACACGAAAGAAAAGAAGGTAAAGGAATGTATGAAAAAAAGAGAAAATAGAAACAAAATGAGGGAGGAGGAGGAGGAGGAGGGAGAGGAGGAGGAGGGAGAGGAGGACGAAGAGGAGGAGGAGGAAGAGGAAGAGTAGGAGGAGGAAGAAGAGGTGGAAGAAGAGGAGGAAGAGGAGGAGGATGAAGAAGAGGAAGAGAAAGGAAAATTCAGTAACGAAGGGAATAATAAATAAAGGAATGAAAGAAGGAATGTAAAAGTAAAACAAAAAAGGCGGGAAGAAAAAGCGAAGAAAAGAAGAATAGAGAGAATGTGGGAAATAAGAAGGAAGGAAGGAAGGAACGTACAGAAAAAGGTATTAAAGAAAGAAGAAAAGAAAGAAGAAATATTAGAAAGAGGACGAAAGGGAGGGGTAAAGAAAGGAGAACAACAAACTGAAGGAGTAGAAATGAAGCAGACAAACAACGTAAGAAAGAAAAAAACAATAAAATATACACACAAGAAGGTCGAGAAAGATCGGTAAGACTTAAAAATAAAAAAATAACATAAAAATGAAAAAAAGTCTTAAAAGAAGAAAAAAGTCTTAATAAAAGAAAAAAAGTCTGAACAAAGAAAAAAGACTTAAAAAATCTTAAAAATGGAAAAAATCCTAAAAAAGAAAAAGAAAAAAAATCTTAAAAAAGAAAGACAAAGAAAGAAAAAAATCTTAAAAAAGAAAGACTTAAAGAAAGAAAAAAATCTTAAAAAAGAAAAAAAATTAAAAAAGAAAAAGAGACGATGAACACAAAAAAAAACGCAAAACATAAAAGAAAACACAAATCTAAATACAAATAAAAGAAAAAGAAAACAGAATGAAAAAAAGAAAACCTAAAATAAAAAAAAATAGATGAAATAAAAAATCAAAATACAAAATCAAACACTAAGTAATTATTTATATATGACTAAGGAGGAATTAAGAAGTAAAAGAAGAAATGAAAAAAATATAAAAAAATATTTAAGAATGAAAACAGGAAAGAAAAAGTATGAAAATATGGCAGAAATAATGGCGGAGAAGAACGATATAATTTTGAAAAAGTAAAAATAGCAAACAAAAAAAAAAAACAAAGCATAAGAAATAAAGAAAGAAGGCAGAAATTAATTAAGAAAGAATTGAAAAGATAAAAAAAAATACTTAAGAATAAAAGCACTAAAGATGAGTGATTGAAACTAAAGAAGGAACAATGGCGGAAATATGCGAAATATTTCGCGAAAAGAAAAAAAATAAAACAAAGCAAAAAAGAATAAAATAAATAAAAAATGTAAAATTAATTAAGAAGGAAAAGAGGGAATGTAAGAATTTTAAAAAAAACAATAAATGAGATTGAATGAAAATAAGGAAGGGACAATGGTGGGGGGGAGAGAACGGTATAATTTTCAAAAAGGAGAAACAAAAAAAGCAAACAAAAATTAAAATAAAGTAAAAAATAAAGGAGAAATTAATTCCGAAGGAAAAGAAGGAATGAAAAAATAAAATAAAAAATACTTAAGTATGAAAACACGAAAGAAGAAATCAAGCAGACGTTGGCTTAAAATATGTGTAGAAAAATGGATGCCTAAATTGACAAAGAGCAACGTAAGTGATTTACTTTCTTTCGCCGTCAGTTAAAAACATAATAAATCTCTTGTTGTATATTTTTCTTTGACTGACCAAAGTGTTTTTATTTTTACTTTGAAAGGAAATACGAGACTTGCTATTTTTTCTCCAGAAAGTTTCGCTGGCTGAGATTCTTTCGTTCAGCTCACAAAACCGAAAAAACTTTCAATTGCTATTTAGAAAGTCGAAAGATTATTTAAGAGTTTGGTAGACTGTCAACAGATACGTTATATATCTATTTCAGTCTTTTCATTATCTATCTATCTATCTATCTATCTATCTATCTATCTATCTATCTATCTATCCATCTATCGATCTATCTATCTCATTCTGTTTCTATCTCAGTCCATTCATATCTATCTATCTATCTCAGTCTTTTCATTATCTATCTATCTATTTCAGTATTTTCATTATCTATCTATCTATTTCAGTCTGTTCATATCTATCTATCTATCTATCTATCTATCTATCTATCTATCTATCTCTCTCTCTCTCTATATATATATATATATATATATATCACTTTATTCTTATAGAATTCTCAGTCTATTCAATTATCTATCTATCTATCTATTTCAGTCTATTCATACATATATCTCGCAGTCGATATATCTAGTCTATTTTAAGCTATTCACACACACACACACACACACACACACACACACACACACACACACAAACACACACGCACACACATATCATCATCTTGCGGTCTCAGCCGAGATTGAACTCACCAATACTTTGATTGGTGTAGTTCATAATCTTGTCAAATAGCTGAATTCTTGATGCTTCGCTAGGGCTATCAAGGGTGTTTTTATCGTGACACCAACACTAAATGGATTGCCAACCAAGGCTCAGAGAGACTCCATTCACCCTCCTCTAAGAGCAGGTTTGAATTCAGAGTTTTCCTTCTCCTAGACCAGTTGCTATCTATCATATATATCTATATATATATATAATGTATTCCCCCCTCTCTTTCTATCTATTTCTCTGTTTTATCTCTTAATTTGTCTATATCTATCTATCTATCTATCTATCTATCTATCTATCTATCTATCTATCTATCTTAGAATCAATTTAAGGAAAGCCAGCAATGCCTTAGGTAAATTGGAAAAACTAGTCTGGACAGACAGAACATCTCATTCGACATTAAGATCAGTGCCTTCCAAAATGTGTGTTCTGACTGCTTCTCTTCGGAGACATGGACAATATATGACGATCGTGTCAAGACCTTGGAAAAAATTCATTAAACGGGCCTAAGGCGTATCTTAAGCAGTAAATGGCAAGCTTTTACATCAGACAGTTTTTCGACAACGGACCAAACCAACCATGATAAAGAAAGTGCGATGGGAAGTGCATCTGTTTTACGGAAAACTCACTAGAGGCAAACATCATAGACAAAAAAGACAAGAAAATTTTCAAGAATGTATATACGGAGTGCGATGGATAAATTGTCGCCTAAATTACGAGAAAATTAAAATCACACTGACATCTCATTTGAACAGATTTTCAAAGTGCGATGGATCGTCTACGTTACGAGAACATGAAAATGACACTGACATATCATTTGAACAGATATATATTTACCAAAATTACACAAAAAATATCTTGAAATACTAAAGAGTAAATTTATTCAATAACATTGCCATTGGCATTGGCTTCAACCCCCGCCTTCAAATGACTTTGGAATCTCCTGCAACTTTTCTGGTTGGTCTCCTTGTTTAAGTTCGTAAACTCTGCCATAATCCTTGACTTCAAATCATCTTTGGTGTTACAAGGAGTTTTTCGGACTCTCGCTCAACTGCACCCCACACATAATAAGGCGCTTGCAGTCTAGGGAGTAAGGTGGCCAGATGTAAGGGGTGATACGATCGCAGAAATTCTCTGACAGCCATGACTCGTCTGTCCTGCTTGTGCTACATGGCCCGGATTTCCGTTACCAGACGTAGGTTATTCCAGCATCCATCCGCTTGACCCCGGGCAGCACTACCTCCTCATGGCACTTGGTGTAGGTCTCCGTGTTGAGTCAGACGCTATGTGGGGACAAGCATTCAGGCATAATGTAGCGATCACTAGTGATCTCTTCAAACAGCATGATATTGACTATATATATATATATATATATATATATATATAATGGACTTTCGCGTCGGTTTCGACGTATGTGGATCTGACAGCTTGATTCAGTTATGAAAGTTTGTGCGATAATCTTAAGTGGCATTTAAGACCCACTAGTGATTTACAAAGGAGGCCACATATGGAGCAAGTATGAGGATTGGGAGATGAGCTCACTGTTAGATTGGCTGATCTTTTAGATCTTGCTCTCGCTTCTTGAAGAAGAAGAAGTACGAATCAAGGTAAACCGCCAGAAAACCCACACAAGTGATTTGATTAAAGGGGTGAAGGCTTGTGCAGAACCATCCACACTTTTCGGAACTACTGATACACTTAGTCAGTGCAAATATATATTCGTAATCACCATTAGATTCAACCAACTCCTTCCGAACCCTCTGTACTCTCCTCAGATAGACACCCAAACACACGGAAATGTTCGTATTGGAGATTCCAGCGCGAATGCAAAGCAACGCATGTCGTTTCCATATTTCTGGGGGAGTGAATTGCGTCATGGTCCACTTTTTTCATAGACGGTAACCAAGTTAAATATAAATACGCTTAAATTCACCTTCATCCCTGTCGTGTGCCAACGGGTTAGTGGTAGAATCCCCGACTGACGCCAATTCAGTTGGCTTTTGCTCCTAGCTAAATGCAACCGGACGTCTCCTCAGACTGATGAGCTCTGATACAGCAAAAACAGTCTGTGAATATATATATATATATATATATATATATATATATATATATATATATATATATACCTACGTTTGAAGTGATTAGTGTTGTCTTTCTCTTAGACTGAATACCAGCCATGGCTAAAGAACGTTGCTTAGTTATTTGGTCAGGCTAAGAACTTTTCAGCTCCCTCATTTTTAAAGATACTTGTCAACTGTCTTGTATTTAATATATTCTTATGAATAATAATTACTATACTTTTTACTTTTGATTTATTATTTTTGAACACTTATAAATATTTTAAGTGCAAGTGTATTAATGGTTAACATACTGAATTCAAATATATATATATATATATATATATATATATATATATATATATATATATATATATACCTACGTTTGAAGTCATTAGAGTTGTCTTACTCCTACACTGAATACGAGTCATGGCTAAAGAGCACGTCTTTCTTAGTTATTTAAAGTTTTTGGTCAGGATAAGAACTTTTCAGCTCACCTCATTTTCAAAGACGAATGTCAACTGTCTTGTATTTATTATGTTTTTATTAATAATGATTAAAATAATTTTATAAATGAATAATAATTAAATATGATTTTGAATTATTATTTTTATACACTTATAATTAAATATTTTAGATGCAAATAGTGACCATACTGAATTCAAATTCTATCTAAGACACTACTCACTTCAGACTAATATTCATGGTAAAGGTATAAATTTATTTCTTCTCCTGGCTATGAGTTAAGTAACAAATCAGGGTTTGTTCTTTAGTCATGTCTGGCAATCATTTTAGAACAAAGATAACTCTAAGCGCTTGAAACGTATATATATATATATATATATATATATATATATATATATATATATATATATATATATATATATATATATATATATATCTTTAGGTCTGTCTAATTACATTGAGGACAGTTTTGTTTACACCTTTATATTAAATTAAATAAATATTTATTCGCTTACCTGTGTAAGTTAACGCGCGATATACGATTGCTAATATGTAGTTATTTGATTTATCTACATTCATACTTATACCTACACACACACACACACACACACACACACACATATATATATATATATATATATATATATATATATATATATATATATATATATAAATTACATTAACCCACGAACCTTTAGATGAATGTTGTGATCCCTGTTTTTAATGAATTCAACTTGTATAAAGTCTTTTTTTTGCTAGTACTTTCATCTGTTCATACAGACATTATCAGGCATGAAAACTGATTTTGTGTGTGTGTGTGTGTGTGTTTGTATTAATAAATATACTTACACCTACGTTCGAAGTGCAACTCATCAGGCGCGAATTATTACTTTTGACTGTGAATCAAATGTAATAATTTATGCCTGATGAGTTGGTAGAACAACGAAACTTTAGTTGCACTTTGAACGTAGGTATATGCATATTTATTAATATATACGTTTTAGTTCTGTCTAACCACATTGAACACTGTTTTGTTTACACCTTATATTAAATTGAGTAGATATTTATTCGCTTACTTAGCTGCCATTTTCCAGATATCTCAGGTACATCTACTGCCAAAGAATTATATCAGTGCTCGTAATATAAACATTATTCTTCAACGAAATAAAAAATTGACTTGTCAAACAAGATCTGTTATTTGCCATTAGTCAAAATCGACAGGCAGAAACGACAAACATTTTACAACCATAGACACTCTCTAAAGTTGATATCTATGACGATGACACAACCATTTATTCCTGTCTCGATTGTAAATCAGATCAGATCGATAAAGTCAAATCGGAAGGTGGTCTCAAAAACGACGTACATTCTGTTGTTAATTTTGCTACTAAATAAAAAAAAAAGCTCTCTGTTAAAAATCTGTATATCATCAGACTAATGGGTGCTAACTTCCAGAAGAGTGTCACGTAAAGCCTTCTCAGGTTAGCATTCCCGGTTGACATGAAGTGGAAACGGCCGAAACGTTGTTAATATTGTAATGTGGATAACAGTCGGAATAATGCAAGTGTTCATTGCTAAATCTTCTCAGCAAGTTAGTTCTGTGTAGTGCTAGACAATTATTTCTCTCTTTCATGTCTATAACTCCATCAATGCTGGGCGCTTTTTGGACCTATCCCGGGTGCATGGGACCGGGATCCCCACATAACACTGACTTTGTGTCAGGTCTTGGGCGCTTCGACCTGGTATAATTGTAAATAAGCTTGTCTCAATAGATCATTTAGATTATTCGAACTGTTATCCACATTGCCATATTAACAACGTTTCGACCGTTTCCATCTCTGGCTAACCGGGAAAGCTAACCTGAGAAGGCATTAAGTGGCGCTCTTTTGGAACATCATCTATTCTGAGCTGTTTTGTTTAGTAGCAAAATTAAGAAGCTCTTCTTTGTCCCAGTTAACAACAGAATGTAATGAGTTCAACCCTCATTAGGTGCTCCGTACTTTTGGCCTTGTGTCACAACTAAGCTAATCTTAGAAAATCAACGGGGCACTTCGATTTGGCGTAATCGTTTTTAAGCTTGTATTGCTAGAACAGATACGATTGAGTAGTGACTTTGATCCTCACTAGGTGCCACATATTTCGACATTGTGCCACGTCTAAGCTACGCTTAGAAAATCGCGAAATTAAATGGATGTTGAAAATAAATAGTAGCCCAATTCACCGGAATAATTTGCGATTTTCAAGAAGAATTGTTTATTATGGTGGTGAATAAATGCGGATTTTCCTACAAAACTTAGATTAAGTCTCTCATAACCATTTCCGTAGAACAAAACACATAGAGGCAGAAACGTCGAACGTAATCGGAAAATATTGATCGACAGAAAATCAATAAATGTATGGTTTGTTTTGAAAATTCTGGTCTGTGAATCCCAAAATTATATATATATATATATATATATATATATATATATATATATATATATATATATATAACACCTAGTGAGCCAGGAACTACCTAGCAAGGTTTCATCTAACGGATCTTCAAGATAACACTGGTATTAAAATAATTAATATATATATATATATATATATATATATATATATATAGTAGTAGTAGTAAACTATAAAATCCCAAATTAATTCATCAGGGAAATATACCCAATATGAGATAATTTGTGATATTATAGGTTACTAGTATTTATTTGCTCTGTTATAATAAATATATTGAGCTCATTTTGTGGATCAGTTTTTTTATTACTAAGATCAACTTGGTTTTATAGAACAACGAATTTCTTAACTTTACCATTTATATATATATATATATATATAT